TCAAACACCCGTTTGTTCCCTGTTTGGATTAGGGGGTGGGGAGTGGAACGCCAAGGTGCGTGCTCGACCGTACCATCTGCCTGCGCCCTCCCCCACCTCCGGTTCTCTTAAAACTGCCTTGACGCCAATTCCATGTGGCGATGTGGAGACAGTGTGGTAGATAGAGCACAAGTTTTCCATCACTTTAAACTAAAGCACGCGCAAGTCACTCCCCCTGATCTTACCCTGCCGTAGAGGGTACGGAGGACGTCGTCGGATGCGACGGTCGAAATATTGTGGCCTCGCCGTAGTCAGGCCCAGGCCAACATTGGTCTTTCTTCCACTGAACAAAAGTCGCGGTTTAAAGTGGAGTTCGTCAGCCGTCTGGGACATATGCGCAGTCTTATGTAGTGAAAGCACTGCTCATCCCCGCAAAGGGAGAGGGGTTAGAATTGTTGTTCTAAACGAATGCTGGACACCCACACCGTCTGTAGGTTGATTATTTCCACAGACGCGAAACTCACTGTCAAATAGACCAAAATCGAAACAACACTAATGCCCTTCCTCCCCCCCTTCTACTCCTCCTCCCCCGCAATCTCTTCCTCCTCCTTCAACTCCTCCTTCTCCTCCTCCTCCTCCTCCTCCTCCTCATTCGCGCCGCCGCACTCGTTGTCCCCAGACTGGCAGGGTGCGTCCGCTCAATCTGGCAGCCTGGAATGTTCGTTCCCTTCTAGACAATCCGGGGGGCAACCAACCGGAACGGAGCACGGCGCTTATGGCATGGGAACTGGCGCACTACAAGGTGGACATCGCCGCACTCAGCGAGACTCGATTCTCCGAACAAGGCCAACTGGAGGAGATGGGTGCCGGCTACACCTTCTTCTGGAGAGGCCGCCCTAGGGCAAAGCGACGAGAAGCGGGTGTCACCTTCGCCATCCGGAACGACATCGTGGGACGACTGCCCTGTTTGCCGCGAGGCATCAGCGATCGCCTGATGAGCCTCCGATTTCCTCTCTGGGGTGGAGAAATTACCACTCTTGTCTTGAAGTGGCCGGCCGAATTTCTAAGGTAGTTCTCAAAATGTAGTTTGGAATCGTTACGGGCTTTACATCAGCCCCGAACCTAGAGATGAACAAGGCAGTCATCCTGTCGACGTTGATGCATGGAGCGGAGACCTGGACTGTGTACATGAAGCAGGCACGTAGACTCTATCATTCCCATCTCAGCCGTCTTCGACAAGTACTGAATCTGAGGTGGCAGGATGGGATCCCAGACACGGACGTACAGAACCGGATGGGGATCCTCAGCATACCTGCAATGCGGCCAACTAGTACGGATGGACGACGACAGGCTACTTTAAAGACTCTTCTTTGGCAATAAGAGCAGAATAAAGTGTCCTGACGAATTGGCATCCTGCTTCTAGCAACTTGGGACATGGCCTGAAGTTGTGGCGTACTGAGCATACACCATCATCGCTTAGCCGCTACAAGGACAACAGTGAAATCAGGCGCTGCGATCTGCGAAGCCAAGCGCATCGCCACCGCCAAAGCGAAGCGCAAAGCACGCAAATCACAGCTGCGTCTACTCCGCAACGACGAAGAACAACCGCTCTCAGCAGACAGTATCGCATCAGCACAGTCATTAGTGCAACTTATAAAGTGAATATATATTTTTAAATTGTAAAAAGTGTTGAATTATATGATTTGTCCAGACCATGGAATATCCAATCGGACACTCTCGCATAAGCACGTTTATTAATGTTACATATAAAGTGGATAAAATAGTCGACATCCAGCACATTTTATGAAACCCATCTTACCTCTTTCTAATAAAGTATAGAAATATATGCGATTATCCTTGCACAGAAACTATACAGTTTGTCGTTTGAAAACTCTGAATGCTGCTGTAGCAGAATTCGGGAAATAAGAGAAGTTTTTAAAACCCCAAGTTACTCCATCTGTCTGCATAAAATTTCAGAAATACGTATGTTTCTACCAACGGAGTGAAAAAATAATATTTGTGTGCATGCTTACTGCTAATTCTTTCTGAATTTATAAGGGCATCACTATTCATTAGAAAATGCATGCTGCATAAGTAGTCATTTGTTACGGAATCTTGTTTGTGAAGGCGGTCGATAAGCAGCTCGTTCGGAAGTCGGCATCCTGTTAATGCTGGAATGCTTTGGCATCATGTGACTCGATAATGATCACGGCGACACTGCTTAAGTAATCTCTCTTCGGATTGGAAGCACATTGCAGCATTTAGTCATCATTACATGAGATAGCATATCTATTTTACGTCAGTCATTGGCTATGATTGTATGTCTTTAAGTACGGCGAACGAATATCACCTCTTGGTGGTAGGGTATACGTCCAAATGTCACTCGGTTAGAGGCAGACGAAGTGGCCGACGTCTGCGGTAAAGATGCTGGGGACACGAACTGTGACAAACAGTCGGCTCTGATCAGCCAAGTTCGTCAAACTGTCACGCCGAGAATCAAGCCCGCAACGACCAATGCGGTGCCCATTCAAAGTACCGTCATTGTCAGCTTTGACGCAGACCGACTGAGAATTCATTAGCTCTGATTCTCAATTGTGCCAATAAAAAACAGGTACCTTCTACGAAATACGCTCTTACGTCCCTGAATACGCAGAGGTTGTCGACCTGAGTGAGTGGATTGACAAAAATATGGCCGTGGTATTTCACATAATGATAATTCACAACTACTACTTCTACCACCATTACTAGCACTTCAGCTACTACTGATAATCTCTCGGAACTCGATTGGTCTTCACATCAGATTCGTGAATCTGGAGCAGTCTTGGACAGTGCAGAACGCGAAGACAACGGTGCTAGTAGAGGTGGCGGGTGATGCAATACCTGTCGGAAACCGAAATTAACTGGACAAGAAACTTTGCTGAACACAACAAATCCAAGGTGACATGTGATGTCCTTTTCCCGAGTTGCGATCATAGAGCGTTATCTCGCATGTCCATGTTTCACAAATTTACGTCACTTCCCTTCCATCGGTGCTTTCTCTTACCTCCTAGATGTTAGCAGAAAATTAGAGATTATTGTCAAGTCGAGCATCGTTGGGCCAGGAAACACCGCCTCCCCGCACATCCACTGTGCATTCCTGACCAGTCTCACTAGTTGTTTTGTTGATGAGACTTTCCTCGACTGTGCTTTATTTTACATGGATGAGGATCTCAAGAGCGCAGTAGCGGATCATCAAACGTAAACCGGTTTTTATTCAATTTGCTTTGCTATATATTTAAACTCCGCAAGAAGACCTGCTTGTCACAAATAATTGTCATCTTCGACTAGGCTAACGCGCTCTGTGTAGAATTGTTTTTAAACGCCGATGATAAACCGTAATAGCAATATGGACAAATCACACAGGTACTTACGGTGCGCCGTGGTTTCATGAATCGGATCCGTCAGTCGCCTCATTCTTGACCACCAAGCATTTATGTAATGCGTCCAAACTTCATTTTGTGACGCATGCGTCTGCCCGGACTGATTCAAACTGAGGCCATCATTGATCGCGACCGTGTTCGTCTTACAACGTCACGTGCTGCAAACGCAGAATTTTCTGACGATGGCAGCTCTGTCAACGGTGTGAAAACTCGGAATTCATGATGGCCCTAACCCTAACCATTGCGCTACCTTTTCCCACTAAGGTAGAGTTCCTATTCCCGTGTGAAGCACCTTAACGGGTAGCGAACTTACTGCGACAAACACTAAATGCACTGCATTCTATCAGCTTTTTGCACTAGTTCTGTGAATCTGATGAGGTCTTTGGGTACAGTGGATAGCGACGACAGCGGCGTTGGTAGGGACGCACGATGAACACGCAAAACCCAAGGTGACATATTGTATGTCATGTTTCCCGAGTACTCATTACAGAACAGTGTCTCCAAGGTTTATTTTTTCAAATTTATGTCAGTTGCCTTTTGCCGGTACTCACTGTCGCCTAAGGAATTTTCGCAGAAAATGTTTAAATTACTGTCCAGGCTAGCGTTGTTTTAGATAACATAACCTTCCTGCACATTCTCTGCACACGCATGACCAGTCTCCTTAATCACTTTGCGAATTCTTAAATGCACATATTGTGGCAATTGTTCCTCGGACATTCCAAGGCCCTTACTGTGCTCCCGCTCACAATCTCAAGCCGCAATGCTCTGTCTGTCTTTCGACCAATGACAGCTACTCGAAGGGGCCAATCATCTTCAAGGCTGAGACATAATAGTGCTCACTCAAGGCATTTGGTCGCCCGTCCCTGCAGATCTAGACGTGTTGCTCTTCTATGTCTAACAAATCACATCCTTTCTCCACCCTGTACGGAACACATTTTCCGTACACCTTTTCCCATTTGGGACTTGATCCGACGGGGTAGTGGATAGCATTAGAGCAAGACCTTAATTGTCGGAATTGAAACTTAACTGTCTGAATTTGTTGATTTCAAACATCAATAAAATTCTCCTGTCGACGTAGTACATGAATCGCCTGCTTCGCAGAATATTGTGCAGATAAGAAGAATGAAGTCGACGAAATGCTTTCATGGGGTGGCATGAATATCACAAACGATCTCAGCCTATCGAGTCCAGACTACTGTTCCAATTCGATTCTGCAGACCAGTCGCTCAACCGGTGTCAGCAGTTGATCTTCTTCTCAGTACTCCATATTCTTCTTCCTCAAGCCCATTCAACCTGAATATAAGTTTATATTTGGTGGGCATTAATAATTCTTCTGTTGTTCTGATTTTCCAACCGATTTTCCCGAATATACCTTTCTCCTTAATCCGGAAGCCGGAAGCCGACTTACCATGCCTCATGGGCTTTACAGTGGCCCAGAAACCTGCGACTTTTAGCGAGCATTAAGAAATGCAGCTAGAGATGTCGTTTTCAGCAAGAAAAAATGATCTGATTGAACTTAAGAGATAGTTTACATACAGATAATTAGGGGGAGTTTACCTGTTATATCTGATTTTGTTAACGAAGTTAGCAGCAGATTTAACAATGGTTACCTTTCCAGAATCTATTTTCTTGTGACTATTGTGCAGTATTTGTAAAAGAACAGGTGTATGTAGGCACTTTGAGGGGTTGGACCCCGTGCTTGCAGAGGTTTGGTTCCGAGTCGTCGTCGTCGTCGCCGAACTTCCCCACTATGAACAATTAAGAGCGCAAATTTACACCGTCTCGCGGATGGTCCAGTCCTCCGTTAGAACGATGGCCGGGAAGCAGTGACTCCTTACTTCGGTCTTTGTGGCGCCCTCTCTCTCTGACTTGTGTGAGACTTGCTACGTCCTCCCTGAAGCCGCCACATGTGGAGAATAGTAAAACAGGGTCGTGTCTGCAAACCTTTGAAGAGCATCGCTTCGTCTCAAGTAAAATGAAGTTCTGCGTGTGTGTTAAACTGATTTCCGGTCAGTGTGAATGACAATCAGTAGGCATGTGAGAAGAGGGTGGATTTGTAGTTTCTCTCATGTTACTCTCCCCCCACCTTAACGTAAGGGTTTCACGAACAGTGTGGATGCTTGAGATGCAGTAGCTGTGCCAATTCATGAAACGCAGACCGAAAAACTGAATTCTATCTTCAGTTAGGAAAATTACTTAAGTAAGTTTTAGTGCACATGGCGTGGGCGGTAGAAGTCATCTAAGCATGCGAGTTAGGATTGCAGTGTTCATAAGCACTACAACGGCCATTTCAGTTAGACATGTATTTGCGGATACAAGTACATTGGGCGCACGTAAAAGCAATTGGCAGCTCGGTCAGGTGAACAAATGCCGAAGTGGCTGCATAAGGCGGAAAATAAGGTACCAAGGAGCTGAGTTACAAAGCATCTAGTGGACACGGGTCATACCGTGGACCCAATGGTTGTATTTAAGGTCCTGTTTCGGACGACGACCGGGCGTCTCTTGCGTTAAGTTGGATTGTCATTATCATTATCGTGCCACTTAATGCCAAAATATTCCAATATTGTTAGGATGTCGACTTCCAAACAAGCTCCTTATCGACCGCCCTCACAAACTAGATTCCGTAACAAATGACTGCCGGTGAGGCACGGAT